CTTCTCAAATGCACAGTGTCTTGATTGCAAAAAACTAGCTGATCCTAAATGGATGAAAGAAACTGTTTTTAGTGGCGTAATACCCAAATGTTTGGTTTGTGGAGGAATTGTTAAACCTTGTATTACATTCTTTGGTGAAAATTTACCTCAAAAATTTTTCCGTCATATGAAAGTAAGTTATCTTTTAAACTAATCATATGTTTAAAATTAGATTTTATTGCTAACCATTTATTGGTTTGATAATAAATTAGGATTTTGATAGTTGTGATCTTCTTATAGTTGCTGGTACTTCACTACAAGTTCAACCGTTCGCATCGCTAATTGATTATGTACGCTATAATGCTCCAAGATTATTGATCAATCGTGAAAAAGTAGCATGCGTGAGTACACAATGTATTGCATTTTAACATAATTATTTATTCAGGTATCACTTTTGATATTTATTTATGTAATTCTTCTTTTACTGGGATTCTTTTTATCGGGTTATTTCTATCAAGTATGGTACAGGCGGTGGGTTTGATTTTGATGGAATTTCTTCCCCAGCTCGGAGAGATATATTTTACGGAGGTAGTTGTGATGATGGTGTATTAGAATTAGCCGAATTGTTAGGATGGAAGGTAATATAATTTGTTTTATCATTATTTCACATTTATATTTTATTTATCAATACTTGTTATGACTTTAGGAAGAATTACAAAAACTTCATAAAGAAGGCCATGAAGAACTGAAAGAACAAAATGCTAAAGATCTGGCTAAAGAAAAGGTTGAAGTTGATGTTGACGCTTTGGCTGCGGAGCTTGCTCAAAAAGCCAATATTAGCGAACAGGAAAAATCTTCTTCAAACGAAATCAATAAAGATGATGCAAAAGTTGGTATCAGTAAAGAGGAGAAATCGAATAAAGTTAATGAAAATAAAGACGAGGCAAAAGAAGAAACTAAAGAGGAGAAATCGAATAAAGTTAATGAAAATAAAGACGATGCAAAAGAAGAAACTAAAGATGACGCAAAATTTGACAAGATTGAGAAA